TGATAAGGCTTATTATTTTCAGTAAATTGCGTGAAGGATCAGCCTTCGTCTCAATTCATAAAGGCCATCTATCCCACTGACAGTTCCACAAAAATGGCCCACAAATTAATGATTATGTTTTCAATAAAGGATATAGATGCAACATTGATTAAAGTATATGGACTACTGAGTAGTTTCATGAACCCTAAAATAACAGTTGCTATACATGTTTTTACTGGCCTAGAAATAAGCTTGAATCTCCTTTTAAAACATAAGCCTATATTAGGCACCTTAGGAATTAAATATCTCATTTATATTGCAACCTTCTCCTTCAGCAGCTAGTCTTTGAAGTAACAGCATTTCAAAAGCAAAAATGAAAGTATTAACACCACGTGTAATCATCAGAGGTGATGTCTCAAACACTAACAGATTTCATCTGATTTATATTCTTGATGTCTCCAGAAGGAGGGATCTTGTGTTCTATATTCTGGATATTCAGATTTCTATAATTTAAAGTAACAGTTAAATTAGCCTTGAGTATTTTATATATATTTGAATTCTTACCACCAATGGTCACAGAAACTCAACAGCAGATCCACTTCTATCCTCAACTATTTCACAAAGACTAGCTGGATATGGAATCTTTGGGACTCACAAATGGTCTGTTCATGACCTTATTTTATGACTCTTCTCTAGTTCTCATCATCAATTTCTTGGTTTATTGGTTTACTCTTCCCTGGTACTGATTCATTCCAAGGTGACTGGCTACGCAAAGACCCCCTGATGTGAGTCATGTAAATACTTTGCATTTCCATTTATTCACAGATACTTTTTTGGTAGCACTGTCCCTATTGCACTGTCTCTAAATTCTAGCAGGTCCTTTACTTGTGATTCCTGCCTTTATTCCTTTTCAAAGACCTTGTGATAGTTACCTTCTGCTCTTAAGTCCTGATAGGCTGATCACTGATAGAGTCCCTGAGATTAAGAATAGCAGTTTTCAAGTTACTGTGATTACACACTTGCTTGATTTTCCATGGGTATTACTCATTGGATTTAATGAATGTTTATTTAATCAGGATTCAAACTCACTAGTTATGATTTTATGATCTCAGGTTTCTGTCCTTCAACAACACAGTCAATTAGATCACTTCAGATAAGTCCTTTAAAAGAAAGTGCATGCTTAGTTCTTATGTAGATTGTGGCTACATAATCTTTTTTCTTTTTCCTATCCGGCATCATCAAATGGTTGTATTAGTTAGCATTTTGGTCATTATGTTTTGAAACAGGCCAGAGATGCAAGGGAAAGAAATGGTGTAAGAAAACAAGCCTGGTTACCATGGCAAATAGATGTATAGTATTTCCCAGGATAAATGCAAATCATTGATAAGGATTTTTGTTCACTTCATAACTCATCTTTGGTATCTTGAAATATATCTATCTTAATATGAATCACAGTGTAATAATCAATAGAAATATGAAATTGTGGCCAATATACAATACCTACATTCTAAAATGAATAAATAGAGTTTTGAGCCAGAGAAATAAAATACTAGACAGGTTTCCAAACTATATGGATAACCAAGAAAGACTAACAGTCCATATAGTTTAAAGACAGCTAGGAACTGAATTTGGTGCAATAAATTCAGTGATGCAGAACAGAGTATGGTGGGACTGAGTGATGTCTAAACTGCAACTAAACATGGTAAAATACATCCAAAATGGGTTTATAGTTAATGATTAAACATTCATTTAACTGAAAAAATTAAAAAGCATTTAAAAAAAAGATTCTACCCTACCAAAAAGTTAAGGAAAATTATTTCAACATTGACAAGAGATAAGAAGCTGGCTAAATTTAAAACAACAACCATTTGTTGAACATCTATAAATGCTAGGCTGTTCCTGGTGCTAAGAATACAGAGAAAGGTTGGGCTTATGCCTGTAATCCCAACACTTTGGGAGGCTGAGGCAGGCAGATCGCTTGAGGTCAGGAGTTCAAGACCAGCCTGGTCAACATGGCCAAACCCCATCTCTATTAAAAATGCAAAAATTAGGTGGGCGTAGTGGCATGAGGGAGGCTGAGGCATAAGAATCGCTTTAATTCAAGAGGCAGAGGTTGCAGTGAGCTGACATCACACCACTGTACTCCAGCCTGGGAGACAGGAAGAGACTCTGTCTCAAAAAATAAAAAATAATAAAGACAGATAAATAGGAAGACACTGCTCACTTATAAACTAGTCAAGGGGACAACAGCTTTATCACTCATTATAATACTATGATAAATGAGATAATTGAGGAATAACAAAGTTTTATGCAAGCATAATACCTGAGAGGTCATCCTATTCCTGACATCTACAGTTCTAGCTGCAGGCACACAGGCCTGAGATAGAAATAGGTATGTATTATAGCAGGTAGGAAGTCTCTCTATAACTCATTCTTATACATATTCCAGAGACTTAGGCATATGCTTCATGTAAACATGCATTCACCATTAAGAAACAGTAGAAACTTGGCAATGTGCGGTGGCTCACGCCAGTAACCCCAGCACTTTAGGAGGCCCATTCAGGCAGATTTGAGGCCAGGAGTTTGAGACCAGTCTGGCCAACATGGCAAAAAAAAAAAAAAAGAAAAAAAACAAACAAACAGCTGGGCATGGCGGTGCATGCCTGTAATCCCAGCTACTCTGGAGGCTGAGTCAGAAGAATCACTTGAACCCAGGAGGCAGAGATTACAGTGAGCCGAGATTGCGCCACTGCACTCCAGCTTGGGCTGGACCTTGTCTCTAAAAACAAACAAACAAATAAACAAAAAGCAGTAGAAACTCAATAAAGAATGATACAGTTAAAAACCCAAGAAGTTAGCAAGTCGCAGTAGTAAGAACAATTTGTAGTGACTCTAAATTACTAGATAAGAATTAGTAGATAAGAAAGTTGAGTAATTTGAGAGACTTTTAAGAAAAGCAGGAAAAGAAACTCATATTTTCAACAAAAGCTGCAGGTAGGTAGATTTTTTTTTTAAACTTCTGTTGGAGGCTGGAATAAGATGAAATTTTAACGAATAGTAATTATAAAACTTTAGTAAAAATCAAAATAATTGCTTTCCAAAGTGATGCACACTTATGGCCTACTTATTTTGAATCAATTGTATTACAAAGGTGTACTTTACTATTTCACTTTTTTGAGAAAAGAAGAACTTCCCCTCCAACACACACTCACCTGGTAGAATATAAGTAATATAAAGCAATACAAAGTTTGAGGACCTTGGCCTTAAGGGCACATGTGTTTGACCATGACATTAGATGTTTATGAAACTGCAGAACTAAGTAGATATGCCAATAAATTGCCTGTAGGAAGTGGCTGTATTTTTTAAATAAGAGTTGGGAAAATTTAATATCTTGAGGGATTAGGGTGTTTATCTGAAAACATTTATCTAAGAAAATTCTCAGACTCAGAATATATCTGTGTCTACTAATGGCTTATCCCTCAGGAAATTCTATAAGGAATTTGACATGCCTAAACCTGCATTCATATGTTCATTCATTCATTCATTTATTCTTCCACCAATTTACATTTATTGAATTCATACCGGACCCTCAGGATACAAAGACATGGTTTTTCAAAGACTTTAAATCCAGTGCCTTAGACTCACACGTAAAGAGTCTATTGCAATGCTAGTGTGATAGGGAACTAATACACACAAAGCTCTCATGGCTGTTACTGGAGAAGCGCCTAGATCAGGCTAGCCTGTGGCAGGTCATTTAAGTAAGACTTTCCACGAATGTCGTCTGTGTTTACTTTTGTAGGAGAAGAATGATAGTTAGGCAGGTGGCTGGGCGTAGTGGCTCATGCCTGTAAGACCAGCACTTAGGGAGGCTGAAGTGGAAGGATCACCTAAGATGAGGAGTTCAAGACCAGCCTGGACAACATGGTGAAACCCCATCTCTCCTAAAAATACAAAAATTAGCCCAGGGTGGTGACGCATGTCTGCAGTCCCAGTTACTTGGGAGGCTGAGGTAGGAGAATCGCTTGAACCTGGGAGGCAGAGGAGTTGAGATCACATCACTGCACTCCAGCCTGGGCGAGAGAGGGAGGCCCCTGTAATAATAATAATAATTAAAAAAAAAAAAAAAAAAGGCAGGTAACGAAGGGAAGGCTGGAAAAAGGCAAGGAGGAAAGATTATTTAACCTTCAAAAACTTCACGTGATTCAGGATGCCTGGACTATAGACTGGGAAAGGCAGATGATAGTGGATGCCGTCACTAGGCTGAGGAGGGCATTTTATGCCATAATGAAGACTTAGGATTTATTTTGTTGGCTATGAAAAACCAGTGAAAAATTTATAGCAAAGGAATGACATAATGAGATTTGCATTTTACTAAGTTTATTCTGGCTGTAGTAAGATGGGAAACCAACAAGGAGGTTGATAAAACATTTAAGTGGGAAATAATGATATGGAGAAGGAGGATGGATTTTAGATTTGCAGTGTGAACATGACTTGGTAAACGAGTAAAATTGGTGGATGAAAAAACTGAATGTACCAGTGATAACTCCCAGGTTTCTGGTTTGGGAAACTGGTTAGCTGTATTCCTACTATCAGTACAGGAATAAAAGACGAGAATCAGATTTTGAGGGTAGAAAAATGAATATAATTGCAAACAAGGATTTGGGAAGTTACAAAACATTCAGTTTTTGTTAACTAGAATGCTTCTGTATTGAGGAATCTGGAGCTCAAGAGAAGGATCTCAGGTTAGTTTACTAGTGCTGCCATAACAAAATACCATGGACTGGATGGTTTAAACAATAGTAATTGATTTCTTACAACTCTGGAGATGAGAAGTCCAAGATCAAGGTGTTGGCAAGTTTGGTTTCTCCAGAGGCTCTTTCCTTGGCTTGCAGATGGCTGCCTTCTCGCCGTGTTCTCACGTGGTCTTTCCTCTGTGCACACACACACACATCCCTGTTGTCTCTCTGTGTGTTCAGATTTCAAGAAGTTTCAAACTTCTCTCTCTTTTTCTTTCTCTGTCTTTTAATATGAGACACTTCACAGATATGCATGTCAACCATGCACAGGGGTTCTGCTAAACCTTTTATGTATCCTTCCTATATTAGTAAATATGCTGCCAAAGAGAGCACAAATTTCCTCTTTCTTTAAGGACACTCGTCAAATGAGATGAGGCTCCTCCCTCTTGGTCTCATTTTAACTTATTAATCACCTCTTTAAAGTCCCTATCTCCAAATACAGTCATATTTTAAAATAATGGGGGCTAGGGTTTCAACATATGAATTTTTAGGGAGACACAAGTCTGATCTGCTGATAGATCTGGCTCATTGACTACAGTTGGTAATTTAAAAGCATAGCAACAATGGATGGTATACCCAGGGAGAATGTGAAAACTAGGGGAACTTTTGGCTGAGAAGGAACCAAAGAAATGTTATTGTGGACACAGAGAGAGGAATTAACGCAGCTATCTACTTCAGAGGGGTCAGAGCAGTAGATTACTTAGGAGAAAACTGTGCTATAAAAGCCAACAAAGGCATTTCAACAGTTAGGAGGGGTCAGTAGCTTTCATTACTCTGAAAATGTCACCAACATGTCTGAAATGTATCCATTGTATACAACATCAAGGAGTATATTGATAATTGTAGTGAGAGTGGTTTTTGGAGTAGAATTTTAGAGTTGAGTGAATGAATTGTAGGAAGTGAACATTTTTCCTTTGGATTGGAGTGAACTTTTGTTTTATGATTTATTTTTCTATGTCAGGAAGAAAAGGAAGGAGTAACAGGACTCAAACGAAGATTTTCTAAATAAGCAGACGTCTACATTATAGTGAAAGAATCACTGAACAGAAGTAGGTTGAACATACTATAGAACTAGGAGATAATCCATTAAGGAAGGTCCCTGAGGAAGCAGAAGGAGATGAAAATAAAAGAGCAGGTGAGGATAGGCTTTGAAAGAAATAAAGACTGCTCTTTGAAGATAGGAAGACCATGAGAGGCTTAGATGCAGATAAATTTACAAAAAAAGGGATGGGGATAAGCTGAGAAAGTTTTAGGAAGCATGTTTTGAGAAATGAGAAAGAATCAGCTAAATCATGAGATCATTGCTGTGTGATATTTCTTCTACCCACTTTCAGTGAAACTGAGTGAAGAGGGAATATGTAGAATAATGCAGGTTTGACCGTTCTAATTGGGGAAATAGATCAAGGGGCAGAAAAAACTGGCAAGACAGTGTCTGAAAGGATGTAACATTGGATATAAGCTGTGTCTAGTTTTAAGTGGTGAATAGGTCACAGATGTGGACATTAAAATGCTGTGGAATGATAAGATCTGGCATAGAGAGGAGTCTCCTATGTATGAGAGTGGTGAGGAGAGGCGAGAAGATGATTGAATGGCCTGGTTTTCTAGGAAGTGAGTTGGTTGCTGTTGTACAGTGAGTTGGCATGCTTATTCAACGCAATAAATATTTATTGAGTGCCTCCTCTATCCAGATCTCAGGTAGATCACCTATGGCAGGGACCCCCAACTCCCGGGCGGTAGACCGGCATCCACCGCCTGTCAAATCAGATTATGCAATCAGCAGCAGCATTAGATTCTCACAGGATCGCAAACCCTATTGTGAACTGTACATGAGAGGGATCTAGGTTGCACGCTCCTAATGAAAATCTAACTAGTGGAAAAACTGTCTTCCATGAAACTGGACCCTGGCGACAAAAAGGTTGGGGACCCCTGATCTATGGCATTTGTGGAGGATTTTATGGTTAGCACACTTGGTAAACAAATTCAAAAGAAAACTAATCTTATCTCATTAGAAATGAACATATTTACATGCACAAACATAAAAGTTGGAATGGGGAAATTTATGTAGTTGGAAGATAGCTATTAAATGTAAACAAACATAATTATAGTCTAGACCAAGGACTAGCAATCTTTTCAGAGGTAATAATAACACCAATGTTCTACATTCATCCATTTCCTTTTTTTTCTTTTCTTTTTTTTTTTTTTTTTTTTTTTGAGATGGAGCCTTGCTCTGTCGCTCAGGCTGGAGTTCAGTGGCCTGATCTCCTCAGCTCACTGCAAGCTCCGCCTCCTGGGTTCACGCCATTCTCCTGCCTCAGCCTCCCGAGTTGCTGGGACTACAGGCCACCACGCCTGGCAAATTTTTTGTATTTTTAGTAGAGACGGGGTTTCACAGTGTTAGCCAGAAAGGTCTCTATCTCCTGACCTCGTGATCCACCCACCTTGGCCTCCTAAAGTGCTGGGATTACAGGCATGAGCCACCATGCCTGGCCCTTTTCATCCCTTTTCAAAAGCCAGACCCCAGGAAGCTGGAGGGAGGTGGGGCAAGGTTTTACAGTGAATTTCTGATTTCACTCAGGGTGATAAGTCAGACTCTTGGGGAGGTTGGTGGTGGCTCTGGACAGCAGCAGGAATGGGGATCTAGTCAGGAACAAACCCATGGGCCTGTGACAGGCTGAAAGCCCACCCCTTCTCCATCTTTGGGAGGTTGCCAATGTCTGATTTAACACTATCCAAGGAATGCTCTTTAAAAATAAAAAAATAACTATCAACTAGCAGAAAATATAAATGGTAAGCATTAGCACATATTTCACATGTTTATATTTGGTTCTCAGATTGACCTAGAAAATGAAGTCTGGAAAATTCTATACGATCCTGAAAAAAATGATACACTGGTCTGGATGGCAGAAGAAGTTGGAGAAATGTTTAAGCCAAATGCAGTATTAGCAATGACTTTTTATTTTATTTTATTAATTTTCAGGATTTTTGGTGTACAGGTGGTTTTTGGTTACATGGAAAAGTTCTTTATTGGTGATTTCTGAGATTTTAGTGTACCCCTTATACTAAGCAGTATACACTGTTCCCAAAATGTAGCCTTTTATCCCTCAACCCCTCTAAGTTCAAGAAGACTATGGTCCTGCAGAAAGCTTTATATGCAATTAACACATCTTTATCTTTATAGGCAGTAGACTCAGATTCCATTAAGAGTTAATGTGTACCCTCCCTCTAGCCTTTATTATTACTGTTGTTGCTATTACATGTGTTAGTGTACGTGAATTTAATGCTTAAAAATGTATCCGATTGGCTACTATGGAAAAAAACTTGACTCATAAGAGTTTTAGCACGGGTTAAGATCTGAAAGTTTTCTCCCAGCCTCTTATCACTGGCGCAGACTTCACAATTCATGGAAGCCACCAGTGAGATGACATTGCCTCAGGCAGTTACTATTTTTATATTCTATAACTCGAGGAGTTCAGTGTTTGGGAAATCATTAAACTTTTTTTGTCCTTTTAAAGCTGGAGACAGCAATTGTAGACAGCCTACCAGTGGGTTATCTTTTTGTGTCTCCTTACCTGTGGAGAAGCCTACTAGCTGGGAAATGTAGTTAAATAGTTTTTGTTTTTTTATATCCAGGGCACCAAGTCAAAAAATGGTGGTGACAGTATTTCACCATTCATTATTTCTTCTTCTGATTCTACCAATTTATCTAAATTCCATTGTTTATAATAGTCTAGCCAGTTAAAAAAATCACAGGGTTACTTCAAAAGCCAAATAAGTGTAAGCTCTATATTCCTGTTTGCATGATAATTTGGGGAAACTTGGAGAAGGACATGGCAAAAAATCAAGATATTTGTTTGTACTCTATACACAATTTCACTCTTGAACAATTCATTACAGCTTGGACTTCAGTTTTAAACATGTGAGATAATGAGGCTAGACTATCATTTTTCTTTTCCTCTTGGAAAAAAGTAAGCTGAGCAACTCTGTTTATTAAGTCCTATTTATTTGGTTCTACTAAGATCCATTTTCAATGTCTTAATATTTTACAATTATTATGTCTTCCCTAAAAGGAAAGAATGTTACCAATCCATTTATACACTGAAAGTATAAAGAATAGACTGTTAAAGTTCTTCCTTAGAAGAGCTGTTTAGAAACAGGATCATCTGTAAAACATGTTTTAAAGACATGGATCAAATTTTGCGACTGGTCCTAGATAACAAAGAAAAATGCCAATGTAGTGAAAGATAAAAATGAAATGATTTGGTAGCTCTAGCATCATAAATATCAACGAGCACTGTAATTTTAATATTGCTGAAATTGGCACTAGGATATTATTGATTTTCTGTATCATCTAATGGTTTCCTGCAAATATCTTTTATAAAAGTGCCTTATATTTCTTCATAATAATCTTTTCTCGAGTCATATACTATCAAATCCTGCAGAGTACTATTCATTCAGCAGTAAGTTAAAGTCATTAAACATATTTCTATTAAAATTTTATTAGACCTGAACTAATATCCTGAAACTGATGCAATGTAATTGTACTATTCAACTAACCACCTTGATGTTTTATGTTAAGAAACATTTTGAAAAATAAAAAAAAAAAATTAAAGGACAATTCGGATGTATTAGAATTTTGTTTGCTGGCATTTTTAATGCAGGGATAATTATTTTAAAGGCCTGTTGTTATAAAGACTTTCCTTTCTTTTACTCTTTTTTTCTTCAATGCTTTCACTTGGGCAAAAGAGGTAATCTCAGCTCACGACTTATGTGAAATGTGTTTTAATTTTGTTCAATTCCCAGCTGCTTTACATCTTGACACAGAAGAATTACTGCATCACACAGTGTTGGAAAGATAGGAGATAGAATATAATTACTGAACTTTATGTTACCATCGATGTGTGAAATTTTTCAAGGAAGAAAATCCACTCATTTTGATAATATAAGCACACTGGTTAAATGCGCAACCCTGTGCCAGTTTTTAATTTTTTTTTCCCTAGTAAACCATTATTTGAGAGTGCTTCAGTGAATTTTGATTTTATTTTGGAGTTATGAGATGCACACATTTGAATGTGTGCGTGATTCCTCTGAGTTACTCAGGTATAATAAACTTCTTAATGAGATATTTAAATGTACTCTTTTTTTTCTGGCTTCTGGTGAGGGCTGTCAGAATACAATGAGTTTACTTTGGTATTACATGTTGTGTTTACCTTCTCACACCTGAGAAGCATATTTGTGTCTTGTGAGGGAAAAAAAGCTGATATCAGGGTAGAGTGACAAGTCTGTCACAGCCATCTCTTTGTTCTCTTTTTGTTTTTACTCTCCTTCTGAAGTTC